GGCTGCGATTTTTTTTTCTGTATGAAACATTTGCATGAAACTCCACTCGGGTCGTCTCGGATTGATTCTACTCGAGTTTGATACGAACAAGAGCAGGCACTTCGCAATGTCGTGACGCTCGAGTATTCTATTACCTTTACTGTACTGTTCTTTAAGTGTTCACCTACGGTAGGAGTATGAAATCTTCCCGATTTATGGGATGTAGGCTACCTCTGTAACTAACTGTGAGCTTCTTGTATGTTTGTTATAAAATGTACTACAACAACAGCAACAGCTAGTACCCCCTTCTATAGTAGTACCAGGGGTAAATAGGTACATTCCTATCAAAGGCTAGAGCAAAAGAGGCTAAACTAGTGGGTCTAGTTATAAGCTGAGTTAGGTCCTACCTGCTAGCCCCCCCCCCAGACAATGCCCCTAGGTTTGACAAAACAGTCACGCTTCGCATGCTATTGACTCAAATTTTGAAACAAATTAAAAACATAAAATTAAAATAGGACAGTGAGTAAAAAAATATTAAATATAATAAATATATCACTCCGGCATTAATGAACTTGGCCTAAGCATTGTAATGTAATTAATATTAAATAATAATAATAATAATAATAATAATAATAATAATAATAATAATAATAATATTAATAACAATAATAATAATAAAATAATAATAATTATTAAATAACCATTTCGCCATTAATTAACTTAGCCTAAGCCTTGTAATCAAGAAGCACCAACAGTAGCCTATACTATATTAAGCCTAATCCAAACTCCCTGCCTTAATTTTTAGTACGGTAATTCTAGACGGAAGCAGGTTGACTCGCCCCCCCCCCAGTCATCTCGGTGCCAAATCAACACGGCCCCATGTCAACCAACCCCAAGTCCACTTGGCCCCAAGTATATCGTTATTGTCATTAGTTATTCTATATACCTTTGTATAATTTTTATTAATATCATTTTAATATTTTTATTAATGCAGTTTTAATTAAGTGCATGTAAATGAAAAGAAATAACAAAGGCAACGATTTAAAAACACTTTAATTTTGGCTTTGCATTTAAATCTCTTGGTAAATATTCAATAAATACCGTACACAGTAAATTGGGACCGAGTTGACTACTTTGTGCCGAGTTAATTTGGGAACGAGTTAATTTCGGGCCGAGTTGACATGGGTCCGAGTTGACTTGGGCCGAGTTAACTAGGGGCCGAGTTGACTCGAATTCGTCATGACATAGGGTAGGTACTTAAATAATTATCCAATACCTAGGCCAACTAAAAAATAAAAATGTTCACAGTATGTAACTCAAATTCAAATAGGGCCTAATATAACACTTTTTTATTCGTGCAGGCGAAATCAAATATTACATACGTTGTTTTAAACGACCCATTATATTAACAATGTAACATGATGTGTGTGTTTTTTTTTCAAAATCAGACAGCGCGCAGCAATCCTGTATCTCAGAAGTTTTGCAGACGTTTATCTTTGGTTGATGACCTTTGACCCCAGAATTAAAATTTTCCGAGTCGAGTCAGTCGAGACAACCCGAGTGGAGTTTCATTCAAATGTTTCGTACGGGGAAAAAATCGCTTCCTGGCTGTGACTGGTTGATAAACACAATGTGGAATATACAGCCGATTTGCAATCTGATCAATGACGAACACGCTTTTATAGGAAACCCACTTTAGTGTTAAGAAATATGATATAAAAACATACATTTTCACATATTTCGCGTCAATATTTTCGCAAAAACTCTTTATACTTTAAATTCCCAAGGCCTTATCTTCCATATTATTGCAAGATCGGCCTAATCGCGTCACAAACGAAGGAAGAGTTAGAAAAACAAATGACTTTCGCTCAGAATCATCATATAAGCCCTCTCTGTCAGAGAGTGGGTTAAAAATGTGTCGTTCTGTTACTTGAAAACAGCGCTTGCGCAAAATATGTTCTATAAGGATGATTATGAATAATTCATGAGATTTTACCAAACTATCCTACGTTACGCAAATTCGCCCGCGGCTACCTACTACATACTTGGCCAATGTGAGATCAATCTGTAGCAAGTATAATGAACTGCTATGTAAAATAAATTGGAAAAAGTAATATATGGGCTGTTGCATCTCACTGATGAAAACCTGGTTCCCGATCAAGCAAAGAAACCCTCAAGACATACAGTAGCTTACACCGTTTCGACCTTCGTAGCTTCTGGAAATTTGGAAAATCTTGTGGTGGTGGTGGTGCGTATCAAATTCTAGATTGTCGGACCAGTACCATAGTCCAGTAGCCGTCGTAGAATTTAATGGTCGTAGCTACATGTTTATAAGCAACATCGAATCAAATCATGATAGATTTTAATCTATAAATAAATGAGCACCATAACACCATTGATTAGATCAGGCATAGGTCTACAATGTTTCTTACCTTCAAGTCTGAATTTGCAGTTCGACGACAAAAACAACAGCAGCAGAAGCAGAAGCAATCGTATCAACGGCTCTGAATGAACAGACGGATCCATTCATTACTATAGCAACTTTTACATAGAACTTATCTGTGATCATTGATGCGTGATCGTTTTGCCAACAACAGTCTTTATCTCCATGGGGATGGATAAATGGATTACGGCTTTCCTTTGTAAATTCTGTCCAAATGTGTGTATACCGTTGATATTATGAATATCTTTATATTTCGAATTGGATATTGGATATTCCAGTGTGCTTGTAAAACGCTCATGCACTTTTTTGACTGTAAGTACTGTAAAATATATTGCTCAATTTTAGTAGTAGGCTGTCGGCGTCGTCGCGTCGTAAACAATGGGTTTTCTAGCCGATGGTAGGCTAGAGAATCGGAAGTTTTCGTTTTAATGTTGTGCTGCTAGATTTCGAAATAATCTCCCAACTGAACTTAGAGATATTTCTGATCCAAATCTTTTCAAACCTGCACTCAACACTCAATTGTTTTCCTATTACCTCCAATTATTTTTTTTTTTGAGTGTTGTGTCTGTTGAATGTTTTGTATTGTGCTTTTGTGGTTAATTGTTTTGACAATATAGTTGCAGCGCTCGTGATTTCGTGTTTAATGCTGTAGTACATGTCGTCTAAATTTTCTTTCTTTTCTCTTTCGTGGGTGCATCCTACCTTTTTATTATTTCAATCACCACAAAATAATGCTATGAACATTTTGTAAAAGATATAATTAAAAATTAAATTAATAAAATTGTTTATTGTTTGCTAACCAGTGCTGTCTCTTATACACATCTAGATGTGTATATATATATAATGGATTTTTATGGTTGTTACACCGAAGTCTGAATTTCCTCCCTGTCTCCCCGGCATAGCTATGTTAGAGTGGGGGATGATGATGGATTTGCCTGTAACAAGAATTTGACAGATTTGACAGTGTGAGTTAAGGCAGGGACGGTTACCAAATAAGGGTGGGATATTGGGGAGTTTTGAGAAATTCAGAATGGATTGTAAGTTTGGCGGTTGACGCTTAGCGAGAAGTACCCGCATACGGTATTCCTCTGGCTTTAGACTTTAATTTCCATCAGGGTACCACAAGAAACGCATGAAATCGCTGTCCTTGCTTGGTACAAAAACCTGAGAAAACATTGATTCTACGTCTGCTATCAACGCCACTTTCCCTTCTCTAAATTTTAACAGCACTCCTAAAAGGTTGTTAGTAAGATTTGTTCCAGGTAGCAAAATGTCGTTCAGTGCTACACTGCCGTAATTTGGAAAAAGGCATTAACTCCAAAATCCTAGTTTTGAGTTATTGAGCAAAACGCGTTTGTCGTTAGCCTTTTGTATTGGAAATGAATTCTAGTAATTTTTTTTGGCATATATACTAAACATATAATTAAAAAACATATTAAATAATTTTCATGGTGATTTTTGCTCTTTAACCGTATTTAAATGGAGATAATGCACTATTCCAAATTTTAACAGGAGTCAATGGTGCGTGAAAAATCTGAAGTTAGGCATTAACTCCAGTTTTTCCAGTGAAATGTGTATCTTACTTAGCCAAATTACAGTATTTCTGAAAAACAAATAATGTATGCCAGTGTCAATTATATATTTCACGAAATTTAGTCCATGTAAGTTAAGATTAATATTATAGTATAAATTTATAATCAATTTAGGAGTCGTCATTGTATTGTACACGTATAAAAATAAATAAAATTATTATTATTGTTGAAATTAAGATGCTATCATTTTTATATTCAATCAGAATACAATGATATTGATATATGATGGTTACATTATGAAGAATAGTATTAATATACTTAGTAGAACCTCTAATTTACGTATACTAAATTTATAGACTTCTATTTTACAAACACGAAGTTACATATTTCGAATCTTCATATTATATTTACGAATCATGTAAAAAGTGCCCAAATACAAAAATTATACTTTTTTAAGCTATTATTAGAAATTAAAAACACTATTCGGTGAGGTAAATGGTTCTATAAAAGTGTGTGGTAGATAAATAAAATCTAAATGAACCGAAGTAAAGCTAGGCATTATATGCATTTACAAGCTATCATGACTAATTAACTATGCGTAATTGTCTTCTGTGATTGGTTTATTATTATCTGTTCATTGTTTGGTGGAGATAATGCCTTCTTCCAAATTATTCTGCATTCATGGATTGGAGTTAATGCGTAAATATAATATTTATTTCATATTTCTGGACATTTTTTGGGGTATATGATCAATTCACATGATATATTACATCTATAGAATGCCATAGAAACAAAAATCCAAAAATCTCAAAAAGTGGAGTTAATGCCTTTTTCCAAATTACGGCAGTACACCCTGACATCTTGCAGCACAGTCGTAATCGATGCAAAGTTTCTTCTTCTGGGGTGGTATATACCATGGTGTTGCATATACCACACAGTTCCTTCATCAGCGTTAACATCCTCCACTTTCTCGGCATAATGCCTTTCCAGTAGGTTGGTCATAAAGGCAGTGTATTCCCTGTGGAGCTCTGAGTTGTTGCCCTTTAACTTATTTCTGAGTTGAACAAGCCATCTCTGCCATTAACTTGTTATTCGGTAATTTCGTTGATTCCTTTCTAAACGGCAACCCTATACTGTAATGCTTGCCCTCCTTCGACATCGTTTGTTTGATCCTGGACATGAACATTTTGTCCTCAACTGATGTTGGGTGTCTAATCCCCTTTCTGGGAAATATGGGAATTATGACTTCATCTTCTTCCCCTTCCAGGCTACTAAATCTTAAATCTTTAATGATTTGCGCCTGCATTTCTTGTTTAGCGACAATAGTTCCAATAGGAGTCCTTGTGGGTTTATCCTTAATGTCTAGCTTATGTGCGAGACCTTGAGAACAGAAAGAAATTGTACTACCTGGGTCAAGAAATGCATAAGTTCTGATGACTGTGGCACCATCCTTTGCTCTAACCTGCACTGGTACGACTGCCAACGCACATGGTGACTCTTAAATGCAAGCCGATGATACTTCCTTAGGCACATCTTCCTTGGGTTGGTCTCGATGAAGTGCTGTTGGATGTCTTTTCTTACATTTGTCGCACACATGCCGCTTGTTAAAAGATTTGCTGATGTGTCCTGTTCCAAAGCATAGCTGTTTTTCCTTTAAGAAGTTTAACTTCGTTTCCCGTGACGTAGCTTCGAACTTGCTGCATTTCAGAAGACTATAGGTACCGTTACATTTTGGACATGATATTTCTACCACTGCATACGACCTATCCATATACTTCGAACGTGTGGGTGTCGTGGTAGGCTTTGTGGCACCAGACCTTGATTGGGGTTCGTCCTTGATATCTCCATATGTGGGATTGCTCCAAATCTTAGCTTGATTCTCCACAAAATTCACAAAGTCTTTAAACTCGAGTGTCCTTTCGTCTTGTATTAAGACCGCCTTGGTTCTCCATCGATCTCGCATCTTGAATGGAGCTTTCTTCATTAACATCTGGATGCTACTGGTGTTATCCAGTTCACTCATGTGTTTTAGGTCTGTCATAACATTTTTAAACTCCAGCAGCGAGAGCGAAAACTTTGCTAGAGAGTCCTTGTCTTCAAGCTTTATATCAGGATACCCCTTTATCTTTTATAGGTATGCATCAGCCAGTTTAAATGGGTCTCCATATTTTTTCGCCAACGCTTTCTTGGACTCGACATACCCTTGAAGAATCCATCGCCATGTAACTTCGACCAAAACGATTAACATCGCCGGAAGTACATTGCTCTAAATAATAGAGCCTATCTCTTTCACTTGACTCTTTCCTTTCCACCTCGTATTCGAATGCCCTCAGAAATCTTCCATAATCTGTGGGCTCACCATTGAATGGATGTAGTTCTCTTTTTGGTAGACTTGACTGTATTGCAAACTGAGCAAACACTTCACCCTGCTTCTGCAGAAGAGCTTGCAGCGCCCGACCGACCCCATCTGTGGCTCCGTTTGACGGTGGGCTGTTTAAACCATGATTTGAACCATCTGGTGTTACGTCTAAAATTGCAGAAGGGTTTATGGTGACCATTCACCATTTTGTGGCTCCTGTACACCTGTGGCTTAGTTTTGCACGCAGCTGATAAATTTCTCCATTCTATTATAATTGGGTAGATCATTAAAATCTGACATTCTTTCCTCCAGTTCTTCTTCCATTCTTTTCATTTCTGTTTCCAGCACCTGTAATTGCACCTCTTTGAGCTCCACCTCTTCTTCTAACTCGATCATTTCCAATACAGCTGCAGCTTCCTTTTTTCATTTAGCGAAAGCCTTCTTGGCCTTCGCCACTGCAAGTTCTGCCCTCGCCTGTGCGGCAGTCAGCCTCAAAGAATTGGTCGATGATCGCCTACCTCTTATCGCCTACGACATGATTTCATTTTTCTTTGATAAATTATGCCTGATATGATCTTTACATCATTGTTCATTTAGCCCTGTTTCTATCATTATTTGATTAGTTATACCACAATGCTACGCAGTGACATTAATTCTATATATCACTTCACTATAATATCGGTATGACTTCTAGGGTATACTTTGGCAACAGTATATCATTTGTTTGAAGAAGTGTCCTGGTTGGGTTGTATCTGCGATATACCAGGGGCCCATTGTTGTAAATATGTATGGCACTCGCCTTGACAGAAAGAGATCACATTAAATCCCGCCGCCAGAAGTACCTTTTCAAACAGTTGATAAGGAACTTTTTTATTTGATAGGCTATGCCAGATACGATATTCATATCACTTTTCATTTATTCAAGCTCTGTTTTCACCGTTATTTAATTATATAAACAAAGTGCTACACACAAAAAATCTTGACGTTTCTTTTATTTCTTTTCACTTTCTCCATTATATTCATTTTCTATTCTTTTTTAATTCTTTTCCCTTTTCAATTTTTTCTTTTCTTTTCCGTTATTTCTTTTCCTTTCTTTAATTTTCTTTTCTAATTCTTTCCCTTTCAATATTTACATATGTTTATATATCATGATATAATAAAATGATAGTTAGCCATCTCATAGACACGAGGTCTATTCCATATTAGTGTCTTCACACCATTAACTTGAATGTAATATTTAATTTATGTTTACATAATTTCATTTATGCTAAAACTAGCTTTAATATAAACGATGTTTAATATCTGCATCTATCTTTCTCCCTCTGCACTTGCTCTCATACCATACAAAGCAGTTATTTATTTTCATTACTTTCGATTGGTTACCAATTTGTTATTTCTCAACTGTTTTCTAATATTTTTTTTAATTGTCATTTCTTTCATGTACCTTTCTTAATTGGCAATCATTCTGAAATCCGACGTGGCACTTGTCGTACTTCTTTCTAAATGGTGTTACTTTACTGCCATAGGCAGGTCTTACTATGATTGTGAGATGTTCGATGATTGCATGATCTCCCTAATTATACATACAACACAATCTTGATTCACAGTGCTGGTACTTTACATATGTAAATATGCAAAAAAAAAATCAAATATTTTGGCGGCCATCTTGATATCCAATATGGCAGCCATCTTGAAATTCAATATGGCGGTCTTCTGACATAATTTCTGTTATCTGAAAAATATAAAAACCACGAGTAGAGATCTTTGACAGTGCTAGGTGTAATATTTACAACATTATCGATAATTAATGTGGTTACCATCTTGAAATCTAGTATGGCAGCA